TCCTTACTTTGGACCCTCGAATTAATTTGGATACATTTTTGCATTTGTGGATAGTTTTCTCATGTCGATTGACTCTGATTTGCGATTTATCGATGGTCTTTCAATAGTTTTATCTCCTTTTATGGTTCGTTTACCGATATAGTCGGATTTGTTCGTATCTTTATTTTATTCGAGTTTTTAGGTTATTTTTTTTAACATTTTCCTTCTTTGGTCCTTTTGTGATCTAGGTGACTAGTTTTTGTCTCAATGGTAATATAAAAATATCATAATTATATTTTAGGTTTACGATTATGTTTGTAAATCTTCATTGTAATTTTAGACATTTTCTACTTTTAATAAAACTAACTACTTTCTATTAAAAAAGATAATTAAGTTATCAATATCTTATAAAATGGTAATATATGTAATTAAAATATTTTTTAATAAATGGCAAAAAAAATAACAACATGGAACGAAATTGGTGATTTTGATAAGTAATCCTTTTATAAATTGAAAGAAGGAATTTCAAACGGGTATTTAATTCACTACAGGAATCTCATTTATTTTCACCTTTTTCTTCTTTCACTCCATCATCCATTCAGAGACAATGGAGATTGCATTAAATTAAGCGGATACGTCAATTCCAGGGTTTGACTGCTGCTTCAGCTTTTACCAACTTTAACTATCCAAACGTATAATAAAGAAAGAAACAGAAATGTTAACCGATATTAATCCATTTATTTTTGTCATAGATATTTATAAGAACTGGGGAAACTAGCGTCTATCCCAAAGAGAGAACCATGCATGACACGCTGCACAAATTTAATTTTGAGATTAGATCGTCTTAGAAACGGTTACATGTTCATTTTAATGGTAATCGTTATTTGGGCATGGACGGGCCTAAATTGGCAGGGACATTTGAGCAATCGTATGATGTGAGAGTTTAAGTTTAATTTGATGCATCTTTATACTTATATCTAATTAAAAATATGGTAGAATTATCGTATGAATAAAATGATTTTAGTAATTAAAAGATTTATTATTATACTTTAAGACCGTAGGTTTAAACACTGTATATGCCAGAGATATAAATATTTATTATTAAAGAATTAAAAATATTTAAATATATATTAATTATATATATACTAAAATTATAAAGATAAATAAAAATAATAATGGAATTACTATGCGGATAAAAGTTGACATTTTCCCCCATTTTTACTATGAAAAAACAAATGTCCAATCTAATCGATGAACAACTCTGTCAATAAATATATTAGTGACCACACAAATTGAATTTTCTTGATGTTTTAATAAAAATTAACACCAAATCACAGGGATCATTTTAATTAAATGTGGATTTTTCCTATCATTGCTTTTCAACTCGCCTCTGAGTTCATCAACCTAAAAGCCTATAAACAAATCTTTGCAGACTATATTAAATCCATTAAAGTTGATTTCTCCCATTTTTTATAATTTAACCCATAATTAATATTTTTTTTATAAAAAAAAACAGAGAATTATGGTACCGAGGAAGCATGTCCTCCCTGCAACTAAAGAAAAACTAAAAAGATAAAATAGAATAAAAAATTAAATATTCTTAGAATCAAAATTTATTTAATATAAAATAAAAAACTTTAAATCTATCATGTTAAATTATCAATAATAAAATATTAAACATGAATACATATCTCTTTATATATAATCAATATTATGTTAATCTATTAAATATTTATAAATTCAATGCTCATCAAATTATAAGTACAACTTATTATATTTACACTTTAATAAATATGATACACTAAAACATAATTAATCACTTAAATTTATTCATATTTTATAATAACATTATATATATATATATATATATATATATATATATATATATATATATATATATATATATATCCACAATTATAAATTTTAATCCCAACAAATATGCGTAAAACATCGTTGTTTGTACCTACCAAATGGCATCTCTTAGTGGGCGGCTTTCTTTTGGATGTTTATATATTTTCCGGGTAATTTTCAGAATATTTTACTTTATATAAAATTTATATATTTAAAATATGATTCTTTTCATGCACTAAAATATATAATTTTTTAAATTATTTTCTAATCAGATCGGATTAATTCATGAAATAAGGTTTAAAGTTGAATATAATATCAAACATAAGATATAATATTGCAAATAAATAAAAAGAAACCAAAGTATACATTGTTTGTAAAAGTTCAATTGGGCATGACGTGGCTGTAATTTTTTTTCAAATTATTTTAAGATTAAATATAATTTGAGTAGGCATAGTTAAGAATTTATACATTGCACAGATAGAATAAAAAAAAGGTATTTATTAGTAATTATTATTATATATATATTTTTTGATACACAGTAATTATTATTATGTATATATTTTTTGATACACAGTAATTATTATTATATAAAAGAAAACCATCTGCACTTTTTGATGTAAAATGCAGAGAATTTTCTTCAAGTAGTCCCACAAAACAATGCCATGGTCCCTACCATCCTTTAACATCTGATTAATATTTTTCCATAAAAATATTTTGGCCATTTCTAAAAATAAAAAACTATAAAAATGTTAATATAATTACATTTATAAAATAATGATTGAAAACTCACATGTAAGAAAGTTTTTCTTAAATTTCACAGTAGGAAAATGATAATTTTTAAGTGTTTTACTATATAATTCAGCAAACCATTTAAAAAATAAAATTAAAAAACAACAAAACAGTAAGTTAATTAGTTGAATTGGGTTTTTATTATATGTTATTTATTGGTCAACATGTCGTCCAAAATGTGATGGTGGGATCAATTTTAAATTTTTTAATTAAATAAAAAATATTTTGTCATGCAAATATTGATTTAAAATATAATAAAATGTTTATTAATTTTCAATTGTATTTACTATAAAAGTTAAAAAGTTTATCATCAGTGCGTAAAATATGGATTATAGAACAAAAAAAACTCAACCTTTTCCCTTTAATTTAGGAGATGGTGGGGTAAAAATCTGGATTAGGACGGCGGTCAAAGAGTCAAGGACTCAATGATTACAGTTTACCTCCGTCAACCCCAAAAACTAGACGCCATTATTTTGGCGAACAACACCATATGGTGACGTGGTAGCACCTTATTTGATCATAGGCTTTAGCTTATTATAGACCATCGGATCATAGCGCACGCGTGGCAATGGGCTGTTTATTTGGGATTTACACAATTATTACCAACAGATACTGGCGTGATAAGAAAAATATTTACCCCGACAACTTTGACTGCAATACTCAGTAAAAACATACGGTGTATAAACGAAGGGTTTCTAAACAAAAGAAAAATTCTTCCTCTTCTTCTTCTTCTTCTCTATCTGCACTGTCTGGGTAATAAACATAACCTTTTGTTTTATTATTGTGCGTTCGTGTGTTTCTCTTAGTTAGAAATTAAATGTTTATACCAAAATAATAATAATTTATGTAATAACAGTGATTAAATGTTTAGTTAAGTAGTGTTTTTCCCTAGGACCAATATTGAACCCTCAATTTTGGGCTTCATAAGATACCGAATTGCCTAAAACTATTTGCATGCTGATTGCTACGTGACAACTTTCCATGGAAAAATTTTCACAAATTTCAAGACAATTTATATTTTGTTTGTTTGTTCCGATTTTATACTGTCTTTTTAGAGATCTCAGAATGCATAGAACAAAATCTAGAAAAAATCCTCCATGGAAAAGAAGAGTTTATGTCTTTGGTTTACGATACGATGATGCAGAGTCATGCATGCACTGCTCTGAAATATAAATAAATTTTGTTCACAAGAAGCTCTGTTCGTCTTCTGTTTCTCGTGCAATCCCTCTCTCTTTTCTTTTTCTTTGCTCCTTGCATCCTTCACTTTCTGAATTTATTAAACTATTGTCTTATGTAAATAATGGCCAGGGTTGACTGTTGAATGCAAGCTTTTGTTTATCAATTCCACTTTTATGTTGATTAAAATTATTACATTTGTAAGAAACAAAATAATGTCATTTACAGATACGACACGTGAAAAGCCACACAATTTTGTTCTTTTTTATTGCAATGTCTTGCCGACAAATCAATGAACAACCTTTTTATTAACAAGAAACATTGAATATCTTTAAAATTTCTAAATAAAAAGTGTTCGGTTTAATTATATTTTGCACGAATACAAATTAAAACTTTAGTGAATCTGTAAACTTTAAAGCTATTTTAGAGGCATTCCATAAAAGGCTTACCAAAACTTTCCCTGTAATATTACATTATTACCGGCATATTACTAAAATGATTTGAGCTAAGGATGCCATGAGACTCTGATTGGTTCCAATCTGGCCTTACCCGATCATGTTAAGTTTTTCTAAATAAAATTGGGTTTGGATGGGATCGAATTTTTTAAAGGTAATGTTTAGGTCAGGTCGGGTCGGGTTCGGTTAGAGAAAAATATAATTTTACTTTATATATTTCTAGATAATTATAATAATACTTTTCTATGTATTTTTTTTCTATTAAATCTCTATTTTTATTGAATAAAAATAATGTTTATTATTATTATTTTAGGTCGGGCCGGGTTCTGATTTCATCTCACAAAATCAGGTCAGATTCGGGTCGGGTAGAGGGCGTTAAATTTTCGGTTCAAATCGGGTTGGAAAATATCCGACCCAAACCCGACCCGTGCCCATACCTAATCTGAGCGGACACAATAAAAATTATTAAAATACATCATAAACTATAAGATGACCGCATGATTTCATTAATAAAACATAAATATGATACTTATATACAAATATTAGAAAAATTATATAAATTTAAATTATTTTAAAATATAATTATTATTTCTTCACATTATGATAAAAGTAAAGTATACGAAATAATAATATTCACAAATTGTCGGGTAATAATAATAGGGTAAGTATGCATCTATAGAAGAAAGGCCAAATAAGCTTCTTTTTTATGCTTCATCAAAATACAAGCTCTCCCCCATAGCTTCACCAGACCTCTTCTGTCTCTCCTTTTGTCTCTTCTTACATTAGCTTTTGTGTTCTTCATTTTCTGTTCGTTGCTTGTATTTTAAAAAAAGAAGTTGATAAGAATTTCATACTTTGATGTCTACACCTTTGGAACATGATTACATAGGCTTAGCAGAGACTTCTTCAATGGAAAGAAGCTCTGAGAAGATCTCTTTTTCTTCTTCAGCCTCTTCAGTTCCCTCCACCGAAGAGAAAACCGGCAAAACCGCCAACGACACTTGTCTGAATCTCAAAGAAACTGAGCTGAGGCTTGGTTTACCAGGTTCTCAGTCTCCTGAGAGAAAACTCTCTCTCTTTGGTAATGACTTGGAGACTAATGATAAAAGTAACGGTTTTGCTGGAGGCCCACTGAAGAACTTGGTGTCTGGAGCTAAGAGGGGTTTCTCAGATGCCATTGATGGGTCTAATGGGAAATGGGTTTTCTCTATGAATGTTAAACCTGATGTTGAACTGGCTAAAGCTGCCGTCTTGGCCTCCCCTAGAGGCGGTTTGGACAGTAAAACCAATTCCCAGCAAGCAAGAAAATCTGTGTCTGTAATGAAAGAGGTGGTTGGTGTTCCACAGTCTCCAAAACCAGTTCAAGATAAAAACAATCTTGTTCCTCCTGTAAATGAGCATGCCAGTGCCCCTGCTTCAAAGTATATTTTTATTCAAACCTGTTTTTTTTTGTTTTTTTGTTTTATAATTTTTACATCAATTCTTGGGTAAGAAACTTGTTTTGTGTGTGTAACAGGGCACAGGTAGTAGGATGGCCACCAATTAGATCATTCAGGAAGAACAGCATGGCCTCTAATTTGGCAAAGAACAGTGATGAAGGTAATGGTTGTCTCTATGTAAAGGTGAGTATGGATGGAGCACCGTACCTGAGGAAGGTTGATATCAAGACCTACAATAACTACATGGAATTCTCATCAGCTCTGGAGAAAATGTTCAGTTGTTTTACTATTGGTATACCAATCCCTCAATACCATACATGAATGCATCTTTTTTTTTTTTGGGTGATAAATGTATCAAGATTACTCTTTTGTAAACGTTGTCCTTTTCTTAACTCTCAAAGAAGTGATTTTTCATTATAATTCTAAGATATAATTTATATTATTCTCTGATATCCGATATAATTTTGTTTTGAAACATTTTAGCATACAATGATTTCTAGATCAAGTGTACATGTTGAACTAAGTGTATGGATGGCTGTGATTCAGGGCAGTGCAATTCCAATGGACTTCCTGCACGAGATGGTCTCAGCGAGAGTCGTTTGATGGATCTTCTCCATGGATCCGAGTACGTGCTGACATATGAAGACAAGGACGGTGACTGGATGCTTGTCGGAGATGTTCCGTGGGAGTAAGTCCTCCTCCACCTACATAACCATTTTTTGTTCGTCTACTTATGTAAATTTGACGTTGCGATGTATCAGTGCATAATACCGAAGTACTGGCCTATGCTGATGGTGTCTGATTTCTTGTATTTAGTTTTTCTTACCATGTTAATCCCCGACCTTGCTGTCATTGTTACTCAGGATGTTCTCCGATTCGTGTAGGAGACTGCGGATAATGAAAGGTTCGGAAGCAATTGGACTAGGTATTCCTTACTGATTAAAACAGAATACATCTTTAACCTGAAAATTAGCTTGCTTTAGCTTTATTACTATTTCCTTTGATATTAAGTTGGTCTATTTTGGTTGCTTCCAGCTCCAAGGGCTATGGAGAAATGCAAGAACCCGAACTAATGCAAAAGAAACAAGCATTCAGAACTCCGTGCAGAACCTTACTCGAAGAACTATATATATGTGTGTGGGTGTATATGTATATGTTTTCAGATATTACAGTTTGATGTATTTAGTTGAATTAAGCAAAGAAATGGCTTTGTAATGGACAAATTGTGGCATTGAAGACATATCCAATTGTTTTTTAAGGTTGTCTGGTTTACCTTGTTTTGTTTAATCTTCATCTCAATTTGTGTACTGTGTAAATGGATTGATTGCCAATTGCCGATCTGTTTCTTTATTTAAAAAAGAAGAGCACGCCTGCCTCGGCCTCCATTGGAACAGTCGTAAGTAGTAATAACTGGGACAAAGGAATGGAAAAGGTAAGAAAAAGGCATTGATCAGTTGCAATGAATCTGAGACTCGGGTGACAAGTGTGGGAATTCCATAAGTGAGGTGTGCTTTCCCACTTCAACTCAATCCCATCAATTTAATCTTTTGCTTTGTGATTAGAACAGATAAAACAAGTGTATTTATATTATGAATTCTTTGGGGCCAAATTAAATTATATCTTAAGAGAAGATGAGAACCATTAACAATACGTCAACACTTAAATCTCTATATGAAAGTTACCACTAAACCAACTACTTGTTGACATATTTTGTGCGAATTATTCAGTCATTGGTTTCGTGCTACTTTACCGCTATAATTCCTTTAAAAAAAACAAGAATTATCACAAGAGCGTATGTGGTGATTGTCTTTGTTCCAACACTGATTGATTGATATCTATTGGACAAGTTTCTGCAAATCTGTTCAATTTGAGGCATGGAAGCAATTTCTTTGGGTTAAAGTATGAGTTTAGTACCTAAACTATAAATTTTTATCTATTTTAGTACCTAACCTTTCATTTTTTTTAAAACATACCTAAAATTTAACGTTAAGTTTTGAAAAAATTGAAAGTTTTGGTATTAAAACGGACCAAAATTGATAGTTTAGGTACTAAACGCATTAAATTTTTAATGGTGGGAGTACTAAAATGGAACAGAAACTAATCGTTAGGTATATTTTAAAAAAATTGAAGGTTTAGGTACTAAAACAGATCAAAAAACTGTTTATTTGAGAGGCTATATCTTAGGATAACTCTAAAATAAACTGCTTATTGAATGAATTTTTCTTTTTCATATTTGATGTTATTGTAGATTAATGAAATAGATGATAATATTATTCAGATTTACGGTCTGAATTATCAATGGTGAGCAGAAGTTATTCAACCGACACTCTTGTTCTTATTAAAACCAAAAAGAAAAAAAGAGTGGATAGTGAACTAGATTGATTATCCCATAAATAAATTACATTGGAAAGACATCTTAGCGTATGATCCTGAGAATTGGAAGTCACGTTTTTTTATTAAAAAAAGTCAACAGGAAAATAGTCTAAGCTTGCTACAGGGCAATGAAAAATATAGACACAAGTTTAATCTAGTGAAGCTGAAACATTCCTAATCCTGGATAATTTCATGATTCTAGTTTGGAAATTTGCAGATAGCCGTCTGCGTATATCCATTAAATACAGATCTCTTGAGCCGCTGAAACATGCGATACCGGCCATCTTCAACAATAGGTGTTGGTGCACGGGCAGGATTATAGCGAGTATGGTGGGTGAGGGAAGGACCAGCTGCTGCTGGTAGCTCATCAAGGATCGACTCAACAAACCTGCTATTTTGAAAATGTTCGGCATAAGAGATTTGGGTATTGTTGTGGCTAAAGTTATCCCGCATCTCTCCTCTAACATCCCACCATACTTCATGTGGCCCACACAATTCATCTGTATCCACAGCCTTCTCCCAGAATTTTTTAAAACCCCCGTCATTTTACTCACGAACTGATATACAAAGACTTCCTTTTATCTTTATTGGAGTCTAACTATTCTCGGTTCTGTTTTATATATGTTTTGACCAGCATGAGTTATACTAGTTATAATTTCCAGGAAAAGCAAATAAAAAGAACCAATCAAGACATAATGGCTTTGTAACAACATTCAACCCTTCTAGTCTGACTCTGGTCTAGTAACATATGTTATTCACTGCAATCCAAGAGCTCGCAACACGATTGGTTATGCAGCAATCAAACAATGAGAAGATGAACAGAATGGTAGGCAACTAGAAACAAGTACACATTTACGAGGAGAAATTATGCAAGAACAGACCACTCGAATATTTAATCACATGACAGAAAATTACAATACATTTTAAAGAATAACGAGATTTATGGAGAAGTATCCTCAGTTCCCAACTATTAGAAAACCTAAGCATATACCTACTGAGATCTTGCTGTAGGTATGGCAAGACGGGGGAGTACATGCTTGGAACTCGAGAATTTGGATAAGTAGGGAACAACACTTCCTTTAATCACTAAGATTGTTTAACTGATTTTAATTTTAAATTTAATTCAAGTGCTTGGGAAAGAAATATGTTGTCACTTATTCTAACTTATTAATTAATTTATTTTATCGTATATGAAAAACAAATATTATCTGTGAATAAAACTTATACATAATTTCATATATAATATAAAATTCGAATCTCGATATTCAAATATCTAAAATTATAACCTTTATGATCAAGATAACGATGTATATAATTTCATCCTCATCCTTTTCTTGACCACCATGGCTTTACTTAATACTAGTTTAACCTTGGTTAACAAATATCATATATAATATTAAAACAAACTCCAAGTTGATTTAAGATTGGTTCAAGTGGTAATTAACTTGATATAACTTAAGTTAGTCTTGAGTTTGATTTATTGTGTATATAGAAAATCTCTACTGGAAGACTCACCCATCAAAACCAGATGTGCGACCCGAATAGATCCACATTAATCAAGGCAAAACCTTGACAACCATAAGGACAAGAAAAAATCTAGAAACCTTTTTTTCCCTTTCACTTAGCAAACAAGAAACCAACGAATATAGTAAGAAAACTTTATCCGATCATCAGCGACTTCCTCGGTCGTGGAAATGAAGTCCCCGAATCGACAGAACCAACCTTATCATTCACCGATATATACCCTTTCCAGCAACGGAGTTAATAAGTAGGGAGGGTGTCAATACTCCTCTAGGGAAGAAAAAGTACTTATGGTTGAAAGCAAAGGAGTATTTTGAGCAAACCTTCCTGCATACTCCGTTGACCATTTCTTTAACAATGGAATGAAAAAACCTGTCATCCTTGGAAGTTCCACCATTCTGAACCATTGTACCAATTCCGGATGTCTCAATTTCAACCGCCTTTCAATGAACTCCTCTAACGAATCTGTCTCCGCAGTCAAGCTGAAGCAAATAGAAAAACAAAACATTAGAGCTGCTAAGCACCACTTTCACCGGGCATAATTAATAAGGAGAGGAGACAGTAGACTTGGTCAGAGTCGGAGAAACATAGAGTTCCTTGGGAAGTTTTCTGCGGGTACTATCACAAACGCTATCTGAGTGATACAAGATCTTTGAAAACAAAAAACGTTGGTTTTCAACATAGAAACTAAAAGAACTGCTACAAAAGCTTACATCTTTCTAACTGGGGATGGATTGTTATGACGTTCTTGAGACAACAATATCTCCACTTCGAAAACCGTTTTCCACATAGCATAAACAGCTACCTGAAGAATCATATTAATCATATTAGTCAATGTCCCATCTCAATTCAAAGACAACTCACCCGATTGAATTCGGTTGCTGGAGAATCCGCCTTGGGTAAAAGAGCCTCATTGCCAGTATCAGAGGGATCACAAGGAGGGGGAGAAGAAACTGCTGACATCGGACTTCGAGATATACCCTTTGTAGAAGAGTAACCAGCAAACCATAATCCAAGTAAATTGCTCTTATTTGCCGTGAACGATTCCCCTGCAGCCTTTGGTAGAACTGTGAACCGAGTAATGCGCTTGAACTAGGCTTCCAGTTCCATCCAGTAGAGGATTTAAAGGTTTGTCTGTGACAGATAAATATGTTCAACTTCTCAAACCATCAAATCCATCAGTATTGGATTGCTTCCAATCTTCCATTTCCATTAATTCAGCCTTTAGGTTTTTAAAAAGTATTTTTTTTTAATAATCCAAAATGAATATTACATGAATCAGATGGATAATTTACAGTATAATATTTGGGTCTAAGTTCTGTGTAAGATAATATATAAGAAAAAAAGGTGAACAGACTTCATATAAAAACCAAAGCAATCAAATAAAAATGCATATTCTGAATCAGTTAAAAGTAAATAGCAGATGCAACAAATTAAAAATATTACCATAGATATGACGCAGTCCAAGGCGACAAAAACCAAATATATTTTTTTTTGGTTTTGTATCCTTCAATCCATTGAGAGAAGGTAATAGTTTCAAGGAGTAAATAACATTGAAGACGTAAATGGGGGAAGAGAGAGAGAGAGAGAGAACTTACGTGTGGTAGGAGAAACAGGGCAGTTGAAGAAACAAATGGGAGGCCATGGAAAGAAGAAGAGAAGAAAGGGACACGTGTGTTAGTCATTTAAAACTGCAGAAATTGAAGTTTCAGCACTTGTCGCAGGGAAGGCACCGAGATAAGTAAGTAGGTAGAGATAGTTAAAAGAATTCATTTTTTTAAATTACAGGTTAATGGTGTTACCTTAGGTTTTGTCTCCCACCAGTCTTTTCTTTAAAATACACGAAAGTTTGTCCTTTGTCATATTATTTTTTAATTAAGTGTCGGTTTTCTTCTCTTATTCCCTCCCTCATTAAAACACGCATAAATTACCAGATAAAAATAGGATAAATCATTAAATATAAATAAATTATAAGAACACAAAAATTAAATAAAAGGACACGAAGGCCTGCTATATTTCACAACATTTAGAACGCACACAAGAAGACGGTGCTGAGCTGATGAAACTACCTGTAATAGAGCCAGTTGGGCAGAGAGTGATGTTGACGTTTGTACTTCCCGTTCAAGCTCAACTATGTATCACATCTTTCTTTCCTTTGACCTAGCAGCAGACTGTTTATTTGCCCAGATTTTGTTACAAAGAAAAGGCGGCATCAAAATCTGAAAATATATATTAGTGCAAAAATATTCATCTCTGTTCAGGGAAAGATTAAAATCCAAATAAAATCCATTCGAAGGGAAGAAAAGTGCGCGGCGGAGAACTATCAAGATGCAAACGCAGATGGATAGAAAACCAACTATAGCTTAGGCAACTGCCCTAGTTTCAAGTTAGCTTCAAACTAAAACCAATTTATATGCTCTCTCAATAAACATATCTTTATGGAACTGACATCAACCCAGGAGAGAAAATAACAACATCGCATGGGGCACGTTATAAATATTTGATGCTTTGGGGTTTAACCTAAGAAAAATAACATCACGTGGAGAGCGTTGCGAAGGCTTAATGCTCTGGGGTTTGAACTAGAAAACTAACGTCACTGGGGCGCAATGCAAAAGGCTTAATGCTGGGGATTAAGCTAAGAAAAAAACTAACGTTTGATAGCATTAAACGATGCACTAAAAGAGGAAATCCAGCACCTGAAAGTAATGACTGGTCAACCTTTACCGAACTGTCGACCAGTGATGAACTATGCATCGTTCGGCGCTAATCAACAGTTGGAAGACAACAAGCATATGCGCAGACAACAAACCATGAAGAAGAAGAAGAAAAAAGAAATTAGAAAGAAGAAGAAGACAACAAACAGATGTGCAGACAGCAAACGAGGAAGAAGAAGAAGAAAAGTTAACGGAAGAAGAGTTGAAGAAGTGATAATGAGAATTTGAGACTTAGTATTTATATAGAAAAGGAAGAAGGAGAAGGAAGAACGTGGGTGTGAAGAAGAAACACGTGGCATTCTTGAATTTTTTTCTATTTTTTAATTGTCAACTCATACTTTTATTAGTGAATTAACAAAAGTTAACGGTCAAAGGACTTGAATCGAATGAACCGATAATGTAAGAAACCAAGAACACTTAATTAAAAAACCGATGACCAAAGTCAATCAGACCAAAGTTAATTTAATTTCGAGTTTCACTTAAGTTATTTATAAAATGATTCGTTGGGTTATTTCTATTGATTTTTGACATCTAAAATTAATACTAATTCGATAAAATTAACCGTGTCAATAAAAATATTGAAAATTATTGTAGTAATACTTTAATTTATCTTTTTCGTTCGTTTCTGAAACATAAATTGGGAGACATTTCTATTAGCAAAAAAGAAGGAAAAAAAGATGTCAGGTGATAAGAAATTGAGCATCAATCCGTCATTTTCCTGACAATTAATCTCCAAGAGAAGCTTCCATCCCCGATGGCTTCTCAAATCCAAGTTCCGCCAAGTCCTGTTTTGCCATCAAGTTCCTGTTGAAAAGAACCAATTTCCATTGAATCTCATCATCATATACCTTAAGCTTATTATATACAAAAATATAATCATATACATATTGCTTCGTACTTTTCCATCCGACACTGCAAGTATTTCTTGGACAAATGTCAACATTTTTCGGATTTACGGCCAGAAGTTTTGAGGTAACTAAGGTACTCTTTCTTCTCCTACAGAAACAAAGTTGGTAACATTGAAAGTTAAATATACGAAGGAGACATCCCGTTCAAAATCTTGTTTCAACAAAAAATTTAATGATGTTCAAGAATCAAAAGCAAGATTGTTCACCGAGTCACATTCGTGCAAATGATCCAACGGGAAGATGCCTTTCTCAGGTGGCACTGGTCTTAGCCCTCTATTCCCGCCAAATGCACCTCCTGCCCCCAAAACAACCTCACGAATCACAATTACTTCACCCAAAAAAAAAACTAGAATGAATAAAGAAAGTGTAGACTATGCCGATAATCCCCTATGTTTTCGGTTTGACCGATTTTGGCCACAAAAAAAAAAGGAGAAATAGTCACTAACGCCATCGGTCCTCCTAACGTTATCGATCCGTCCGATTTCAGTCCCTAACGTTAGCAGCCCATTCGACTTTAATCTCTCAGCCATGTTAGTGACTTCAACAAAAGTGACTTAAAATTAAAGGGATTAAACAAAATTAATAGCATAAAGATTTAAAGAGATGGACCAGTACCATTTTCCTTTTTTTTTATAACTAAAGTCGGCATAGTTTATCCTTAAAGAAACGGACGGACTGGTTGTATTTGAAAAAGGACGGCTATACAATTCGGGGAACTACAAAACTAGTATCTTCAGAGGACTTTTATCGAACACCTAACCAGCAATTTGAACTTAGACAGAGAAAATGAAGGGTTTTAAGAAAGTAACAGACTCTAAATAACCCCAACGAAATGGTTTCTTTTATAAGCCTCAAAATGATGGGAACTGGCAACAACTACGAGCAGAGGAACACGACAATTTTAAGGAGTGTACTGGTAAGCTGAAAATTTTGAAGAGATTAATTATCAAAGAAACAAAAAAGAAAGTTAAATTTCATGTTGTTGAGTTACCTGCACTCATCTTACCGTGTGTTTGGTCGGTGATTTGCCTCCGTTTTCAGCTCTTCCCGTGCCCTGCTAATTTGCAAATTCTCCCTATAGAATTTTGTTTTTAAAATATCAACTTTCCGATCGGACTTCATCTGAGAAATGAGATTTCAGTCTCTGGCCTACCAAACAGGCCCATTGTGAACTCGCTAATTAACATCTGGAAATATGGAGCACTCCTCCCAAAAAAAACAAAGGCCCAGATATTGTGCGTTTTTGACGTTTAAAATGAAACCATATGAAAACCCAATCTGTTTGGTTTTGCTCATTGCGCAGGAACAAAGCTTGTTCTAATTCACCATTGCCCAGTTTAAGTTGCACATTGAATTTTTTTTTTTGTACTATAAATTGAACCGTAAACTTTGAGACACTAACATATTGTGTGGCATGCACTGTAGACTCATCCATATACTAATTTTTTTTTCAATAATGAAGCCGTTAAGTTAACATCAATTCAAATAATTTTTAATCAATATGTTGCTTGATAAATAAAAAATTTTAAGAATTAAATTTAAACTATAATTAATTTAGTATCTTATTTAAAATTAAATACAAAATATAATTAGATTATTTAGTAAATATACAATTTAATGAAAAGGATAAATTAGCGAAATAAAATAAAAATATTGAAAGAAAAAATCAACACTGATTGACAAATAATTTTTATTTACTTAACTCTTTTAGCATTTTTATTAAAAATTATAATATATAAAATTTATTTTAAATTATCAAATGTACTTATAATATTAAATCATTAAAATTATTAACCTTCATTTAAATAAATTGTCAACCCGACTTTAGGTGATACAAAATCATTATATCAAATAAAAACCAATAATTCATATAATCATACTGCATTAAGAAGATCCGATCTCTTTAATTAAATATTGGTTTGATTTTTTGATTTGATAACATATTTAAACGAAAAGAAAAACAAGAGTGATGTTGATGAAAAATATAAAAAAAATATCATAATAAAAAAATCATGTCAGAAAGTGAAACACTAACACACGAATAAATGAGAAGGACTGCCAATAAATGTTGCTTAGTCGAGCACAATTTTAATTATAATTTAAAAAATATATATATTAAAAAATAATCATTATTTTATATGTAAGTTGTATAGATTTATTTTACCTAACATAGTTATAAAAAATATCATAATAAAAAAATCATGTCAGAAAGTGAAACACTAACACACGAATAAATGAGAAGGACTGCCAATAAATGTTGCTTAGTCGAGCACAATTTTAATTAATAATTTAAAAAATATATATATTAAAAAATAATCATTATTTTATATGTAAGTTGTATAGAATTTATTTTACCTAACATAGTTACTTTACTTTTAAATTTAAATATAAAATATTAATCTTAAATTCTAAATTCTGAACTTTTAATAAAACATATGACAATACAAACTTATACGTAACGTATGTTAGATAACTTTTTTTTAAGAAATTAAACAAACATTTACAGTACTTTTATGTTTTGAATCGCACTTTTTATTTAAAACAATAATTATATGTCAGTACAAATGTATATGTGTAAAAGTTTAGAACAAATTTATACTATAAAAAGATATGAGAGTCAAATAATTGAGAAAAGAAAATATAAAAAAATGGATTTTGAGGCAATAATATCTCTAATGTGTTGTGATGACATCAGAGAAAGGGTCCCCATAAACGAAATCTCTGTTCGTTGTGATGAAATCAGTGCGGAAACTTCTTGCTGTCGGCCAAAGGTAAATGATTTTGCGCTGTAATTCTATTTTAAACCCAAAAAAATTAATCATACTTCACACAAAACTCACAAAAAAAAGGCTGAAATTTGATTTCTAGTTCTTGTAATTGTCCTTCTCCTATCGCATTGGATTTACATGTAGCATTAGCTACTTTAAAATAAATCTTGCATTTTAAAGTCTCTATTGTTTTGTTAAGAAGAATGACAGAAATAAGATCAACATATTGAAAGACAGGGTGAAAAATATAAGCATGAGATCCGCAATGAGGAACGGCGATGATTGGAGTGATGATGATATGGGGTTGAATAAGAATGGTAAAGGGATGTAGACAGAGTAACGAAAACCCCAAAAGAAGTCCCGAAAGGCGCTGTTTGGAATTAGAACGTTGCAGCTGGGACACTTGGGCTTGTATGTACGTGCAGTATCCACGACCTTTCACCGTTGCTAAGTCGTGTAGATGATGGTCCCACACCCAATTATATAATATTGAACATATGAAACCCTACACAAATATAAATGAGCCTTTCCCTTTTTCCCCCCTACCTTTTACTCATCTCTATAGTCATTCGCATATTCTGAAAATTTTATTGTCTACCACATATAATGGTAGCTTAAGGGTCACATTGGGTAGGAGCGTCCTTTTTCTTTTTTTCTTCTATCTCACAGTAAACTTTCATCCCCATTTTCCTCTATATATTCAATATAATTCTCCCATTTTTCTGTAGCCTTAAATTGTGTGCCTTGGAGATTCTCGGGTCACTGACACTCTCTTTGAAAAGCCTAATGACAAGACCAAACCATTCTTCATCTTCTGAAGCTGAGAGTTGCAGCAATGATAACTCAAACGCTTCTCCTTCTTCTTCCTCTTCGGAAACTGGTAGCAAAGCTAGAAGACCCAGGGAAGAGGGAAAATACCCAGTTTACAGGGGAGCCAGAATGAGGAGTTGGGGCAAATGGGTGTCTGAAATTCGTGAACCCCGCAAGAAATCTCGCATTTGGCTCGGCACTTTCCCCACCGCAGAAATGGCGGCCCGTGCTCACGACGTTGCTGCTTTGATCATCAAAGGTGAAGCCGCCATCCTGAACTTTCCGGATCTCGTGGACTCGCTTCCTCGTCCGGTTTCATTACTGCCCCGTGACATCCGAGCTGCCGCTGTTAAAGCTGCTTCAATGGTCAACTCCAACACCCTCTCTTCTTCTTCTTCTTCTTCTTCTTCATCGTCTTTGTTATCTGAATCTTCGTCCCCCTCAGAGTCCAATGCCTCGGAAGAACCCGAGGAGCTGAGTGAAATCGTTCAGTTACCCAACATTGATGGGAATTTCGACTCGCGGACCGAGTTTATACTCCTTGACTCGGTCGATGGGTGGGCTTATCCACCACTAGATTTCCATGGAGGATTGTCTGATCCGATATGGAATACAGAGAATTTAACGGCAGGCAGCTTTGGGACTAGTTCCCTTTGGGAATAATTCACCTACTTTTTTCCGCTGCTTTATAAGGGTTACTGTAAATCTGCAGGGGTGGAATTATTCGATTTGTTTGTCTTTTCTTTGCTAACGGGTCGCTTATCACTTTCCATACTTTTTGTAATATATGAAATCAGTTAGGTTTTCTCTATTCTGTAAAAAAATATTTAAATATCTATACCACTTGATGAAATTGATAGCCTTCTTCTCCTTAATTTAAATGTTTACCAATTTCAATTTAGGGTTTTTAGCTTTTTCCATAGAATCGTATTAGACAAGCTTTACATATCCTTTTCTCAAATCCTAATATTATGTGTTATCAATATAAATATTCAAAACCTAATTTCTTTTTTTTCAATTATTGAAATTCAAATACTAACAATTTCAAAGTATAAAAATTATTTTCCAATTAACAAGACTGGCATTATAGATCAATGCCAATATTGTTTGATATAAATGTCGAAATTTATCGTTTACACATTGTATATTGGTTTTAATAGTTTAAAAAAAAACTCATCAGATATTGATTTTAATATTTATAACTTACATATGTGAGGTTCCAATTCTAAATTTGGGGGGACATGTCTTATAAATAGTTTTATAGAGTAATTGAATTGTACTTTAGATTCATATAGATTTAAGTCATGTATCATGATGTTTCAAACAAAGGGGGGAAATATACTAATTAATGAAGTCTTAATAGAGTTGATTAAATTTAAGCATAAGTTTTTAAGTATTTAAAATTCAATTTAATGTGTAAATCAAATCTTGTAATATGTAAATTTTATATTAAAACTAAAAGCTTTTGTAAATCATTGGATAAAATATATAAATAATATGCCAATTATAAAATCCTTTTATTAAGTCATCCGACTGTAGAAAATTATAAATGGTTATTTCATTTTAAAAAATAACAAATTAATCTGATGTCACTAAAAATTTAATGACGAATGACGATTTTTTTTAAAAATTGATATAATAATAAATTAAATCTAAACCTCTTTTCTTTGTTTAATTAGGTAATAATTTGATCGCGTTATCGTCGGTGTGAGTTTTGGGGATGGAGGGGTTAATACTTTGGCGTCGGGTGAAAAGAGTGGTTACATTGAGATAATATTAAAATGGTAATGTTAATTTGTTATCTTAAAACAAATTCAGAAAATATATAAAAACCGAGAGTTAAAATTATTTGGGTTAATATAAAAATAAATACCAAAATTATGCCTCGAATAATGTTTTAAAAAAATTCGTTAAAAATATGTGCCTGATGTTTCTTACGTTACACTTTTAGGTGCTCGGATGTTAACCGCCGTTAAATATCGTCCCTGTCCCCTTTCATAGTCACAGGCCGACCAGTGGTGACTGTAACACCCCTAACTCATATTCGACCCGAATACAAGTTCGAGATGTCACATTGACTTTTCAAACTTTGATTCTTAAAGAAAAATCCCGGGAATTTAAAAATTTCATTAAAACAAAATACTTTAATTTACATAAAAGAGACCACTTAATACAAAATCGATTAGAGCATTCGTAATTAACCACTTATTACATATCAACACTTTATACACAAAAAAATACATACTTTGTCAATTACTTCTGATCTGATTTCTTAGTAATGTTGATGTTCGTGCCACTTCTATTCTGAATCTTCTTATTTCTTGGTACCTACGTGTAAAACACTTACACACTAAGTCATAGACTTAGTGAGGCAATAAATGAATATGCAACAATAGCTTCATGAATATGCATTCTTACCATTTCCTTCATGACATTTCAATATGCATGTATCTATTACACAATAACATATATAATCATATCATGCATGTACAAAACTTACCTTCTTGTGCCACTTTCACTTTACTTTGTATTTCAATTGCCCATGTATATTATTGAGAATAGAGGTATGTGAGTACATAGAGGTGGTGCACTAATGCTATCACCACAGCTCGTATCAATTCCCTCATGGGGCACCGAACCTTAGTTCAGTATTCGTCCCGAAGGACTGTCATATATGTCCCGTAGGACCACTACATCTCGAAGGACTACGTTCCGAATGACTATTATACCCTCGACTCTTGGCATGCCAATTACACCTATAGCTCTCATATCGTATACAATGGGCATTATTCTTATATTTTATATGTTCATGTACTCATGTCATTTCTCTTGTGATCATGTAGTTCATGTCATTTCTCTTGTGATCATGTAGCTCATGTCATTTCTCTTGTGATCATGTAGTTCATGTCATGTTCTCATATCACATATCATATCACATGTGCATTTGAATCTATTCATATATATACATCATTTATCCAATCACATGAACATATATATGCCTTATGCATGTATTACAATAATTATCATGTATGCATGTTCACAACTATTGTACTATGAAAATCAATATAGGAATTAGACTTATCACAAGTCTTATTCCATTATACTATACATATAGTATGCACTCACCTTAGCTTTACTTTGATTCGATTCTAATCCTTTGATCGTTCCGGAATAAGCTTACTTTTAGAATCTACATAATCACACATGGATCTATATCAGTATTATAGCTTCCGTAAGAGAACTCCAAATTATGAAATGCCCTCCGTGAGACTCGATCTCACGACCTCAAGATTAAGAACCTTGTGCTCTACTAACTGAGCTGGATGGTCATTTCCAAAAGTAGTATAATTCGAAAATGGATGAAAGTAAATTGACATAGCGACATCTAAGCAAAAAGCAAAAGAAGGAAAAAGTAGCGTTGCAGAGGATTTGGAAAAAGGAAAGAATCTGATTGTAAACATGGATAAACTGTTATTTTATAATAGATGTTGAAACGAGGAGAAAACTTGTCTTCCGGAAAACGGTTCTATAGGTCGAACACGACTGTTTATTTATTGTAATATTATATTTTTAGTTGAGTTATAAGATTTGGTTTTATTGGAAAAATTATTTAAATTTAAGGTTTTCTGGTTTGACATGACATTCATTATAGAGTATGAAATTTTGGAGTCCGCAGCTGTTAGATGATGTGTCAAACGTCAAAGAGCCAATAGCTCGGGTTATCTTTTGGAGACATCGAGGCACCTATCAGCCAATGCTTGACGGTGGGGCACGCGAAAATGACTCGGTCTAGATATCTGTTAATTGGGAGAACGGGCAAACGTATTCTCTAGTTATTAGATTCAACCAAAACCACCTTATTTAAAAAATAATAATTGCATTTTCAGATAAATGATCCTTTAATTAACCCATTTATAATGTAAATTACTGACCATTGACTGTTTAATACTAGAAGAGTTGTAGATTGGCGTAGCTCCACCAAGTCAAAGCTCCTTTTATATTATTTTCAAAGCATTTATAGAGCTGAATACTTCACATTTTGAAAAACGAGATTTGTTGATTATATTTTATGACAAACTATAAATTAGATATAATTTTAAAACGCTATAAAAAATTCAAGTTGCATCATAGTTTAAATGGTTTAAACCTTTAATTTGTCCAATTGCTCATGTTGCATGTGTCAAACTAATCAATAATCAAATAAAATGTATATTTTAATTTTATTTATTTACACTCTCGATGTTTTAAAATAAATCAAACCCGGTTGTTAGTATCAATAATGGACGGATCTTTGATTTCGACCATTCAGGCTCTTCTATCTTTTTGTTTTACTGTAACTGATTTTCTAGAAAATGTTTTCTTTGTTTTTTAGTGTTTGGTTGGCAGAAAACAGATAGTCAATATAATTCATTTTCATAGTCAATTGAATTTACTTTGTATTTTTTGGAAAATAACTTGTAAGTCATTTTACGAAATTTTCACTTCAAAGCATAAACACTCAAAACATTATTATTTTATATATGTAATATTAATATATTATTTTAATATCATTTTAATAAAAATATTAATTATTAAAATATCTATTGATAATTTTAATAATATAATATAATATTTTATTGTTATAATTATATTATTATAATATATAATATTATAATCTTATTTTAATAATATATAATATATTATTAATAAAATTATTATTATTTATTAATTTAATAAAAATAATATTATCGAATTGTTGAATATTTAATATATATTGTTTAAAATATAATATAGTATTCTTATTTTAATATTATAATTTTAATATTTTAATAATATTCTTATTTTAATAAATAATTAATAATATATTATTCTCATTTTAATAAAAATTAATATAATTTATAATAATTTTATTTTAATAAAACATAATAATCGTAATATTTTTATGTGTAAAATTATAGATATAATATTTTAATAATAATATGACATAAATAATATCAAATAAATTATTCTAATATTTTAAAAATAATATTATTATTTTGTTAATAAATATTATTATTCATTGTATTTGTTGTTTATAATAAAGAATTTTTAAAAAAATTATCATCCAATGAAAAATGAATTACACAACGTCATCCAAACACCGTAAGATAAAATGAATTACACGACGTCATCCAAACACTGTAAGATGATCTTCAAAAAAAGTAATTCATTTTATGAAATTCATTTTTCAGAATCTGTTTTTCGTGAAAGAAACGAACCCTTAAAGACACTAGAACATCAATTCTAGCCTTACAACCTGTATTCAACTTATTAATCAGTTAGAAAAAAGGTTAAAAACTTAATAATTTAAATAAATAATAGATACAAATAAAATTTATTACCAATAATTTTTTCTCAACAATGACTGCTTTTTTTATTAAAGAAAGTGATTAAATAAGATCATCTTATGTCTCATTAAAAAGCTACTTTAATTAGAAGGAAATGGTGATCTAAGTTACAGAAGAGACATCTACGTAAACATATTCTCGACAATATTAAAACACATTACATAATTTTTAACACCCTAGAAAGTATAAAAACCTTATAAAAGAACATAAATATGAACACGTTATATTGTTTACAGACACTCTTTGAGGCCCACACCACCAAATATTCAGAGCGTAATAATGATCTTTCGATGTAATTTTAAATATTTTGAACAACATAATCAGATGATCACCAAACTAGCAATAATAAAAAAAACTCGTCGAGATTCACTTCAAATGAAAAC